TTCTTTTATAATAGCTGCTTTATATTTCCTATATAAAATAACTAATTTAACTAGAACTAGAAGTATTATAATATATATATAATTATAAATTATAGCTTGAAGTATATTATATATATAAATATATAAAAAAGTATTATTATTTATTTTAATATTCGAAAGCTTTAAAGTATTAAAGTTAATACTATAAGAAAGTAGAATCTAGTAGTACTAATTAAATATTACTAGTATTTATTAAGATCTATAAAAATTAGTATATAGAATAAGCTAAATAACTAAAAAAAATATATAAATCTTATTCTAATACTTATAATTCTCAAGAATTCTATTATAGAGATTTATATTTATAAATTAACTATATTATTTAGTCCTTTATTTCAGATACTAATAAAGGAAAAAAGGCCTTCCCGAAATATAATTTTAGTATATAGGATCTATTCTAATTATATATATATTCTATAAATTAGTATATTTAAAAACCTTATTTCTAATTCTAGATATATAAAATACTAATAATATAATTCAATTCTATAAGTTCTGAGAATTATACTATTCTTTATTTACTAGTTCTATAAAGTAATTCTATAAATAAATATTAGCTAGATTATATATATATACTAAAATAAGATTCCGAATAGCTTTAACTAAAAAAAGTAATATAATAAATAATATAAGAAAGCCTAACTTATATATTACTAAAATAATTAGAAAATCTCTAGCTTCTATTACTAGAATTTAATATACTAATTCTTAGTACTTTTCTTGAAATAGAAATAGTCTTAAATATAAAGAATAGAAGAATCTATAAAACAAGAGAAATAAAAGTATATTTCTATAATAAGAGAAAGCTTATTACCTTTATTAGCCCGAAAAAATATAGAAATATAGCCTAATTAAATATAAGTTATAAGATATTACTATATTACTAAATAAGATATATAATTTAATATACTAATATAAACCCAAATAATAGCTCGAGAATAGATATTAATATATATATAAATATTAATACTAAATAGAGATAGCTTATTATATCTATTAATTAACTAAATATAGTTCAGACTAAATATAATATATTCTCTTTTATTTAATTATATTTTTCTTATTTATTAAATAATAGCTTTAAAATTGAGAATATATAATATTACAAATAAAATATCTTTATATAGAATCTAATTAATTAAACTATATATTTATAAACTGAGATTATAAGAAATTAATTAAAAATAAGAGAAAAAGAAGATATTAAGTAACTAAATAGCTATTTTTTCAGAAATAGTTATATAAAAGCCTTTATCTATAGCCTTTAATTCGGCTATTATTAAACTCTTTCTATAGGATTTCAAATAGCTAAATATTTCTTTCTTTTCTCTTAAATATATCTATTTATTATAGAAGTCTAATCTTCTTCTATAGATATATTATTTGAAATTTATTAATATTATATCTATAATATTAAAGCTTAATAACTATCTTATTATTAGTATAGCTTATCCTGAATAGTATAATAATCTGAATATATAGATTTAGTATATTTTAAGTAATTATATATCTGTAAATATCCCAGAATTGTAGTTATTAATAAATTATTCTTTCTGAGACTATTTAGCTAAAAATAGTTTTAATATTTTAGGCGATTTCTTTAGTTATATAGTCGGCCTATATCCAGCTAATAATATAAGCTCGGATTAGGTCTAGATCTATTCTTAAGTAATGTATCTTAATAGATTTATAGAAGGTTATAGATATTTTAATAGTTTTAATAATTTTTGTAGTATTATTAATAAGGAAAGTATAAAATCACGATTTCTGGAAGCAATTAAAATTAGGTAAGGCTTACTAAAAAGCGCTAAATTATTATAGTAACCGAGCAATTTTTAGTGCATTAATTCCCTCAAACTTTACGAATAATAAATAGTTGATATTGAAGTGTATTTATTACTAATAATAATAGCGAGTAATATATATAATTAATTCTCGATTTGTAATTGAACCTTAATACTATTAGTTCCAGGGTCCAGCCCTAATTAAATACAGTATTTCTAATACCTAAAGTAATACTAAAAGTCAAGTGCAATATACCAATACACTGCGCAAAGTGCGAATGCACTATGTGCGAAGTGCTAATGTCGAATGTAATTAAAAATCGGGGTTTTGGCAGTACAAGAGTTAGAGGCCTCGGTACCTTAGGCCCCGGGGCGTGCATCTTACTCCCGCTAACGGCTAAGGTATGCGAGAGGGCCGGAGAACAGGTGAGGACAGATTAGTGTAATTGATAGTTTAAACTAGTTCAAAAACTGTACTTTTCATCCTTTGCCAGTCCGTTTGCCGTTTTCAAATAAGTGAACTAGTTAGTTTGAAACTTTAACTTTGTGGCCGAGAAGAGGTGTTCCGGCTCTGCTAGTATAGCGGAATCGATGGCATCTCAAGAGCTAGCTTTCTTAAATGAAGATATACTTGTTACTGGGTTGTTCAGAGCCACTAATCACGTGTATCAAGGGTTTTGACCTTGAGAATCGGCTAAGTGCAGTAATGGGCGTCTTTGTCCACAATAAACTCCTGATTGCCGCCTTGCTCTTCTAGAAATAGGAGGAATTAGTGATCCGTAATAAGTTCGGGCCCACTTAGTATAAGATCAGTATCCTCTGGTATATAGATCTCCCAAAGGTCCTGTACTATTCTTTTCGCCCTTATACTTCACGCCTTCTTTATTGCCCAATTCTTATTAATATATGCCCATTTATTAAACGGGGGTTAGAAGCCTAGAGGCTAGTACGAATGTATAGAGTGAGTCAAGTAAGTAGTGAGTCATGTGCAACTTTCACGTACTCGCTTAGCAAGGTCAGAGGAATGGTCGCTGCGGTAGTATTAGTATAGAGATCTGTTTATATAACGCTTAGTAATTTAGTTAATGCATCGAGTTCCCGAACTTGCCAAAACCATTTATCCTATGGATTTAATACTGAAGCGGCCACATATACAGAGGTATCTTTAGTCATCTGGTAGTATTTGTCAAGCTTGCTCCGCCCAGAGTTAAACATCTTGCTAGGCTATAGGTAATCCTTAAATTACGTCTCCCCCTCCTCAGATTTACTTTGAATACAGTCTATTACAGGGAAGACATTATTAAGGGCAGATAAATTGGACTTTAAAGCTTCGGTAGTTTGAGTAATAGACTCAAAGAACTCCTAAATATGGCAAAGAAGCTCCCAATTATTATAATTAGTTAGTACTACAAGCTCTAGAACGGTGTTTAGACATGCCTCTCTCCTTTAATTCTGGGGGTTATAACCTCAATATTAACTAATTAGAATATTTATTTCATTATAAAGCTCTTTAAAACCTCCTTATACTATAGCCATTTCCGAATATTAATATAAAGGTAAGCATTATAGTTGCTTTATAAGAGGTAGAAGATAGTTTCATATTTCACTTACAAGTCTTTATATATTATTAAGTAAGGAGTCCGTTTGTCTAAAGCCTACTAGATAAGTACATTCCCTTGTCCTCTTCCCAAATTCACATTACATCTAGTGAAAACAAAGAGACCTATTAGTCCGTTTATTCCTTTTGCTATTAATGCCAGCTACGTTTCGTTCTCCGCATGCTTACGTTATTCGAACGAGTAATCTCCTTCCTTGCTCGCTCTTGAATCTCAAGTTCATTTGATATCCGGTTTATTATCGCATCTGGCTCCTGGTTCCCATTCCTATCCTCTACGAATGTGCGTTTGCGGCTACCTTCTAATATAGCAGAGGTTCCAGTATTCAGTGGCCGTTCAGAGAAGTGATGAAGGCCGCATGTTCGAGCACCTCAGTAAGCGTTGAATCCGAGAAAAGTGCGCTACTCCCGGCTCATAATCCGATACTGCTGACGAGCCGACGCTCCAGGACCAGGGGCCTCTTCTAGAAGCGGCAACTGCAACGTGCCGCCAGATTATAATATTTATGGAAGTTCCTAGGCTCTCTTCGAATTGACTAGCTAATATATGGCTAAGCTGGACACTGTCCCAGTTCTTATTCTCCGTATCCCTCCGAGCCCACAAGAACGAAGACTGTAGCATTGCAGTGTTGAAGACTAGTAGACCGGGCTGGTTATAGAACAGTCGTACAAGCCAGGTATAGTAAACAAAAAGCTTACTAACCTCACGTAAAAGGTAATAGTGGAACATCTTTATTGACCTGCAAATACTATATCCTTTATAATATAAGGTTACGAAACTGATAAAGCCGTCCTTAATAAAGATATTCGGCCGTATACCGTACAGGGTATTCCATAGCCGGAGGCCGGTAGCTCAGTCCCTATTGCAGGCGGGCCAGATGTAATATGAAAAAGGAGTAGAGGCCGCTCTAAGAAGCGGTTAATGCGGCGATGATATAGCGCAGCTACTGGCCTATGCTATCTCCCCGATTCCCGCTTTTGAAAGAACTCCCCCTGAACCCAGTCGTGGTCAAGCACCCGATTAAGCAGCCAGCGCTCTTTGCTGCGTTACATTTGGTTCAGTGGGTCATCTTGGAAGCTCCAACCCCGTTTATTATTTGTTGGGTCATCCTTAAGGTCTCGAAAAACAAGTGTAGGGACAATGTCCTCTAGCCTCGTAGGTATGTATGAGAAGCAGGTCCTCGAGTTCGTATTAGGCAAGGTTAACCTGATTTCGAATAAAATCTTGAAACTTCGTCATTTCAAGTTCCGTGTCTTTGTAAGACAAAGTCTTCCCATCTTCAGATCAAATGATATGGCCTAGGCTTGCCGTAGTATCTCGGATCTTCTTTCCATATGCTCGAAACTTCAAGGCCCAGTTTATTGGAGCGCTGCTGCTGTAGGTCATGAATCGATCTCGCAATACGTCGAGAATGTCGGCCGGGTATTCAACATCTCCTCACTCTACTACCATGACAGCCTCTCGAAAAGAATATTGGAAATATGTAATAATTGTAACTTAGGTTTTCTAATTAAAACCTATACTTAAAGGCTTAAAGCCCATTTAAGCCTTAGGGCTAAGTTTACATCCCGTTCCTCAAATTATCGTACTTACTCTCTGGATAGCTCAAATAATTCAAACTATTCTCCAGCCCCTTAACCCCCCCAAACGTCTTGATCGTAGTCCCAATCAAACTATCTACACCGCTTTTATCCATGCTAACCTCCCACCACGAACTCCCTCCTAGCCCCATCCCCTTCACAAACTGCGCCTTTACCTTCGCGATCTCGGGGGTATCATAGCTAACCATATACTTCTTCGCAGAATCATAGCTATACGATGCTCCAACCTTGTCGAGACTAATTACTTTAGAATTATATCCTGGTGCAGGCAAAGCCTTGTAATCCCACACCCCAGCAAGGCCGAAACTCCCCGTTGTGCCAGTCCCATTGAATGGCTTCCCAGGGCCGCCGGTACCTGCAAACGCGCGTCCGTATAGTGGAGAACCCAGATTGATTTTCGAGGGACAGATACCGCCAACCAGAGTATAATACGCCATCGCCGAAGTAGTATTAAACGGTGTCGCAGCTGGGATCTGCAAATCCTGGAAAACATTGGCCTGATGCCCAGCGATCTTATCCCAAGAACCGACGTAATCGAAACCCATGTAGTTCCAGAAATCGAGATATTGATCCATGCCCTTGAAGTCGAGCTGTTTGTACTTGTCTGGTCCGGCGGGTGAGGCGTAGGAGAGCAAAAAGGATGGAGAGCAAGTGCGGATAGAGTAGGCGTCCATCCCCTCTCGCAGCTTCTTCAGGAGATCGACCATTTGTGCGGCTTGGGTCGAGTCAGTCACGTATTCGTAGTCCACGTCTATTCCGTCGAAGCCGAGGTCGGTCATGAGTGAGATAGCTGTCTTGGCGAAATTGGCGCGGAGGGAGTCGGAGGCCAGGACAGGAATGATGTTTGGTGAGTAAGTGGCGCCGCCTATTACCATCAAGGTTTTAAGGGAGCGATTGGCTTTTTTGAGGAGGTAAAGTTGCTTTATTCCGCCGTACACGTTGGTTCCGTTCTCGGAGGTGTTGTCGCCTGGGTAAGATATTTGGAGGTCTGCCCATTCGTCGGACAGGAAACTAGTATTCCATTAGATAGGATCTTCTACTAGTTAAAGGGGTCGATTACACTTCGCCAGTTGTGGTATTGATGTTCATGAAAGAGTAGGCGACGTGCGTGAGTTGGGTAGCCTGGATGTCTGTGACTTTGAAATTTCGGGCATAGATGTCCTGGGAAACACATAAATTTTGGGATTAGACCGTGACTTGAATCTTTTTCACATACCCAGTTTCCAAAATAACCAACTGCGCGCATACCGGCACTCTTTGCACACGTGTAACTAGGAGAGCCTGACGCAGTTGGACTCGCAATGGCAAAGCCAACCGACAAAAAAAGAGAAAGGATCGAAGTGCAATGCATTGTGATAATCGCGAGATCGTGTGAAACAGCAGTAGTAGAAATGAATGACTATACTAAGCTTATAAAAAGGGAGTACAAGTGTCGACGAAGAACAGCGATGATTCAATGCATGAGAAAAGGAGTTCAAGATATATACAATACTCATCCCCCAAAAAGCTAATGCCCCTCAAATACCAATAGATTAAAGAGACTATGTAACTTTACTGGTGATTAGCCTTATTTTAGGCTGTAGGTCATTATGAACAAAGAAGAGAGTTTGAGGGCGAAGCCCTGGAGCTTGTTTTACTCATATTAATCCGCGACTCGAGTCAGGGCAGGAATCCTTAGTGGTCCCAGCGGATTCCAGAACATGATATCCGAAGAAACCGAAATAACGGAAACATCCTTGATTTGCGGGCGTGAAGGGGGCATGCCAAATACGGTTTTTGGGAGATTGGGATGATCAGCGAAACCCGCCATCAGCGCCTGATTCGCTGGCCGTAATCAATCTGAGTCTCGGAAGTCGCTTGTACCACCATCGGGGCCTTTATTTTCACTTGCCGAGCCGGTGCCCACTTATACTGAAAATATAATTTTAATTTTAATGAGTCACGATACGGAGATCACGGCATCAAGTAACGGGATTTCAGGGCATTTTGACCCTCCTTTCCTTATAGCGCGCAAATTAGGGAGCTGTGCCCGCTTCAAGGCCTTATAACTCCAGGCAATTAACCCTAAATCTATATTGTGAGATGCTATAAAACATTTGCAAGGTTCCGGAAGATTATTAAGGGTTATAGCGCTATTAGTAAAGCAATTATAGTACTTAGATACTATAATAGTAATTGCTATAAGGCCATTTAGTAAGAGAGCTTTTATAAGACCAAGAAATAAGCCTTAAAAGAATAAAACCTCTTATTCGCGATTTATAGCTTTAAGATCTTATAATTTTATAATTTTATATTATTTTCTTTATAATTATTTAAAAATGATTTTGTAAATTTTATAGAAATATTAAAGAATTTCTATATAGAACTAGTAGATATTATAGGTATTATTTAAAGTATAAAAATTAGTATAATATAGTAGTAATTTATATGTTATAAAAATCGCATTATTTTAATAGTTTTCTAGTTTTAATTCTATAATAAAAAGTAGAGTCATTTATATATAACTTATTGAAATTATATAAGGAAGATAGCTTTTTTTATAATTCTAGATATATATATATATTCTTTATATTTTATTATTTATATTTTATTATTTATATTTTATTATTTATATTTTATTATTTATATTTTATTATTTATATTTTATTATTTATATTTTATTATTTATATTTTATTATTTATATTTATTATTTATATTTTATTATTTATATTTTATTATTTATATTTTATTATTTATATTTTATTATTTATATTTTATTATTTATATTTATATTTTTATTATTAAATTATATCTTATATTCTAATATATTTTATATTAATTTTTGTTTTATTATAATTTCTCGCTTATATTATTATATTATTATTATAATACTAAATAAATTTTAAGTTAATTACTTGAATTTATTTTAAAGAAAATATATATTAAAAAATAAAAGTAATTTATAAAATTAAAAATTAAATTCTAATATAGTTTTTATTTTATTTTTAATAATTTTATTAGCTAAACTAATATTAAGTAAAACTTTTTATTATAGTTATTATTATAATTAAATATATTACTTTAATACTAGTAATTAAGAAAGCCTTATAACTAAAGCTAAATTAAATTAAAATCAAATATTTAAAATATTTTAAATTTAGTATAAATGCCCTATTTTTAAAAGAAAGAAAAAAATAAGGATATTAATATTAACTATTATTTTATTAAAAACAATATTAATAATAAAGAAATTAATTTCAAGTATATAATTATAAAAGAAATAATAGCTAATATTTTTATTAAATTAAATTTTGAACTAGCTTTCGAATTATTATAATTAAAACTAAAAGCTTATTAGTTTTATTAATATTAAGCTTTAATTATAAAGAAATATATTAAATTAGTAATATAATATCTTAACTAGCTTACTACTTTTTTTAATATTAGACTTAATTATTAATTTAGTACTTTTTACTTCTATTTGTAATTCGTTATTTGTAAATCTTACTAAGCTTACTATATATTATTAATTTAGTTATTTGCTTTATTAGCTAATTTATAATATATCGGAAAAAGTAGACTTGGCATTATTTATATTGCTAATGAATAATGGGAATAAAGACTCTTTGGACACTTTCTCTACTGTTTTTATCTTTACTCTACTGTATCTAGTTATTCTACGCATCGTTAACCTTCAATATATCGCTTTTGTATTAATATATTGATCCCATTTCAATACAGCTCGCAAAATGCGGCCCAATCAGCTCTTTGAAAACCGCGATAAGCAAGACGTGAGGCAAATGGCTCAGGCGTCAGCTCAGGTTAGACCAGCGACTGCTCAAGTCTAAAGAAAGGACTCGGTTTTGGAGATGTCCAGTTGCGGCGCCGATCGTAGTGATATTAAACACAGCTAATTTAGTGACAAATTATCCATTACCACCACATCCGCCTTGGTCGCCGCCACCAGCTGCGTTCTGCACTTTATTATTGTTGAAACATCGCGATCTCGTCCAGATTGGTGAGTTGAACCACGCATGCCATTCATACCCATTCTCGTCTGGCTCATCGAAGTACTGGAAATTCCAATTGGTGATACCAAGACCGAAGCATGAAGTTGAGTTGGGACGGAGAGACTGTTGGCCCCAGTCCCAAGATGCCCACTAAAGATAATTTAGCGCAATTGCCCTCGGTCGTGATGTTTAAAAAAAGAAGTGGATGATTTACCCCAGCACCGTAGATATCATATGCATCCAAAACAAGTTTATACCAACTCTTGCAAGACTGCTTTGGAGCTGTCGGCGGCGGGAACGGTCTATTCGTCCGCTTAGGGCTGATACTATATGTATAACTTCCGAGCACATTACTTCCCCCAAACTTCCAGTTCATCGGATTTGAGCTGGAGCCATCGCAGCCGTCAAGAATTTGGTTCATGGCCATGTTGCATTGATTTTCGTCGAAGCTGCTGGCGCCGTTGCTGAGTTGCAGGAGCCATACGCTTTCGTCTGGTGTACCGACATTGTAGGGCTTGCTGTAGGGCCAGTTGGCTACGTTGGTGGGGTGGCCTGAGGCGACGGAACTGCAGAAGTCGGCTGTGTTGGAGTAGAGTGAGTAGGCGCTTGCGTATGCTTTGGAACTGAGAGTCTGGAAGCTGTTGCAAACTTAGTACCGAATGCTTGAAATTCTGTCTAGGCCCGCCAAAGAAGGGACGGCTTTGAGAGATTCGAGAAAAACCTACCATGTCAAGGCGCTTGCAGCGCAGCCAGGCGGCGAGATTCCTAGAATGTCAGCACGAGCAATCCGAACCTGGTCAATTGCAAAGCCGGCCATAGCTTCGTGTCCAAGTTTGTTGGGATGGAAGATTTTCCCGGTCTCATCAGTGAGAAAGTACTGGACAACATTGGATAGGGTGCCGCTGGTGGGGCAGTTCGGAGCCGTGATCCCCCGTTTAGCGAGTGCGTGGAGGTCTCTTTTCGCTTCCTTCTCCCTCTGTTTTTCTAAGATTGATTCTTCCATCCAAGCTCCCAGTTCAATGGCGTGCATATAATCCAGCTGTTCCATCCTCATTGCGTCAAGTTCTACTTCCCCAGAGGATGAATCATTTCCTCTGATGCGTAAAGGTCCAACGGGAACCTGATCCAGGTTGGCCGGTGTAGTATCCCATTTGAAGAACATAACACCAGCATTGGAAGGATGGTTCGGGTTTGGAGAAGCCCCGGGCTCGCAGAATTGCCCGTTCATCAGTTGCGGCCACGGACTCCAATCTGATACCATTACTTTGGCATTGCTGACTTTTACGAATATGGCTGCATCTGAGAGGAAGAAGTTTGTGAGGCTGACAAGGTTGTTGAATTGGGAACGGTGGTCTGTGGTCAATTTCAGGCCGCCGAATGGCCATCCCCAGTTCTCTGTGGTTCCGCAGGCTGTGGTTTCTGCGTTGAAATAACTTGGTAGTTAAGACGTCAGCTCTCGCTCTTTTTGCCCTCTGGTGATTCCCATGTCACGGCACTGGACACTCTTTCAAAATGGCAGGGGAGAAAGTCTTACGGCGCGTAAGTGCTAAGTACAATTACTCCATTTTTATTCATTTTCGTATCGATTGCTTGAATAAGAGCTTCGATATTGGTTCCTAAAAACGAATTGGCATTTTGGGTCGCTTGGGACATTATATTTTGGCAAGCGCTTTCCGAGGAGAATCTGTTTACAATGCATGTTGTAATGATGCTTGACTGGCACTCCGATCAGTTTCTTGTAACTCCTTCAACGCGTGGATAGAGGAGAATGAACATGGCAAACTCACCAAGCACAAGTCATTTCCTCCAGCAGTCAAAACAACCAAATCTTGTCCTGGGTTCATTGCGTCAATCTGGCCCATGATATCCGCAGACGTATCCCCAGAACATGCTAAGTATTGGAAGTTCTGAACATTGGGAAGAAATCTGTGCATGAGAATTGGATACGAATAGTCGTATCTGGAACAGTCGACGTCCGATTGAGCATCGCTATATAGGCTCCCCGAGCCAATTCCAGCTGTGAAGGAATCTCCAATCGCAGCAAAGCTCTTCACCCATGAGAAGTCATCGTATGCTTGTGCAGAAACCAGACGAAAAAATACAACATGAAGCAACGAGAGTAAGAGAATGAATAACATCGTCGACAGCTACGTAAGCAAGCGTACGATTGACAGATTGAAAATGGAAGTGCAGCGCGAAGGGATGAGGGGACTGGAACAACATGAATAAGTTGAGATAAGTTGCAAATAAAATAAGCTGACTTTCAGGAGTTTCTGCGAGCATCCAACATACCGCTCCGAAATGAGAAAGTAGTTTTACTCAAACATCCCTACTCCCAGGGGGGAAAGCCAATTCCAAATTCCCAACAAGAAGCATTGCAAGGACCGAAACAGAACGGAGAGACACTCATCCACGCCCCCGTGCTTTCCGCAGGATCATAGTCTAGATAGAGCTTCAGTAAGCGCTAACACCAAAATCGTTGCTCACATGCTCACGATGTTTTTCTCTACACTATTTCATCATAATCATGTTGTTTTACTGCTTACCCACCATGTTTCCCCCCCTAATACCACCCGAACAAGGAGAACATCCGAGGTGCGGTGTTCATGCATGTAGCATGTCAGGGTAGGGCAAGAGATCGGACGACTACTAATTTGAAACCCCAGCCAGCCCGCCACCTTTGTTGATAAGCTTAGTTTTATAGCTGTGCGAATGCTTGTGAAGCTCTTTTTTGTGCTGATTTAGCTCAGGGCCGCGATCGAGCTTCGATCAATATGCATGCAGGTGCAACTATTGGCGGCCGCAGGCTCACCCAGAGCTGCACAATTTACTTATTAACAACCCAAACAGCCGTAACGAGGCAGGGGGTGTCCGGGCAGGCACGGGCAAGAAAATCACCGGAATCGGTTTGAACACCCTTTTTCCGCCTCAAGTCTCGCTACGGCTATTTGGGTACGAGTAGATAAATTACGGAGTAAGCATTGGAGGAGTTAACTAGAGCTTGATCCCTTGCCTTTGGAGGCCTCCGTTCGTCGGCCGATACTCTTCTGTAACTGCACGGAAGATGCACTAGTTTGGTAAGGTACGTGCAGACAAGCTTGGCAGGACCGCCGCAAGATTATCAAGTCCATCAGCAGGATATTCAAGCTGCCTTTGTAAAATTCTAGAGGATTATCATTTTCCTCAACTCAACACATCTTCTTGTCGATAATTCTGAGTTTCCTGGTTGTGCGACGAAGTGTTCACTGTCACCATACTGTGTATTCTCTTCCTCGCGACCAACTTAGGAAGCAATGGTGCGCAGTCACTTGAAAATAGCTGCTGCTTTTCTATTGTGTGTTTCCTTCGCAACAGCTCAAAGCACTAGTTGTAGTCCATCGAACCCTTGTTCGGTGGGTTGTTGCGGCAATGGGGGTTTAGCAAATAATCCGTAAGTTGGCATACCAAGGAGCGCTGCATCTTTGAATTGTACTAACGGTTGGAAACAGTTTCATTTGTGGAACAGGTATGCATGCCCAGAAATCTATCTTCACAATGTTCACATTTTCAGGCCCAGATTTTTGCGGAACTAGCTGTGTTGCAAACTGTGACTACAAAGCTGAGTGTAATCCAGGAGGATGGGATCCCATTTATGTTAATGCGTCCTCCTGTCCTCTCAAAGTTTGTTGCAGTAGATTTGGATTTTGTGTACGTTATGGGCGTCTATATGAAGCTTAATTGCTAAGCAAGTTTTCAGGGTACAACAGAGGAATTTTGTGGAAGTTCCCAGGTTCCAGAGCCTTTTTGTGACGGAAATAGCGCTGCTGGGAGGATTGTTGGTTACTATGAGGGCTGGAGCGAAGAAAACACCTGTGAAAGTATGTGAAAATACCTGCCAACTTTGAACAGATAAGTTGACCAACCTAGCCTTTACGCCGGATCAAATCCCACTGGGAATATACACCCACATTAATTATGCCTTTGCATCAATTGATCCCTCAAGCTTTCAAGTTGTTGCCATGGATTCCTTTACAGGAACTCTATATCCCCAGATTATCGCCCTAAAAGGCAAAGATCCAGGCCTGAAGATTTGGATCAGTATTGGTGGATGGTCTTTCAATGATCCAGGACCAACAGCTAATACTTTCTCGACTCTGGCATCATCTATCGAGGCTCAAAATGAATTCTTTGCTTCCCTGATTTCCTTCATGTCAAATTACGGGTTTGACGGGGTTGACCTTGACTGGGAATATCCCGTGGCCCCCGAAAGAGGAGGCAACGAGGCAGATTTCGCCAATTTACCAACATTCCTGCGGAATCTTCGAAATGCCCTTAATTCGAGCGGATTTTTGTTTGGATTATCAATTACTTTGGTAGGTCCAAGGACGCGGACTGTTCAAAAATGATCTAGTACAACAGACTAACAAATCCAGCCCTCGTCCTACTGGTACATGCGGAATTTCGACATTGTCTCAATAGATCCTATTGTAGATTGGTTTAATATAATGACGTACGACCTTCACGGGACGTGGGATGGAACGGATCCTTACATTGGCGCTGTAGCGCTTGCACACACAAATCTGACAGAAATTAATCAGACGATGGACCTGTTATGGAGAAATAATATCAACCCAGCTCGTGTAAACATGGGCATTGGATTCTACGGAAGAAGTAAGTTCCAGTTCGATTTATAGAGACTCGAATTGATCTTGTCGCAGGCTTCACAATGAGTGATCCATCTTGCTTGAAAGCCGGATGTCCTTTCTCCGGCGGCGGAGTACGTTTTCGAAGCAGCCCTCCGAAGGCATAGCTAATTTTCATTAGAATCCTGGGCCTTGTACCGCTTCTGCTGGCATTCTTTCTTATCAAGAGATTGAACAAATAATTGCTGCTGGCGCAACCGTAACATTAGATCCCGTAGCTGCAATCGAAATCGTGACCTGGGACACAAACCAATGGGTCTCTTACGATGACACTCAAACTCTGAAGATGAAGATGGAATATGCTAACGGGAAATGTATTGGAGGGTATGTAAGAATTCTCTGGTTGTATCGTCTTCCTCTGACCATAATCTTCAGTGTGCTTGTCTGGGCTGCAGATTTGGATGACCAGACTGGAAGCGCTATCAACGCTTTAGGGGCAGCCCTTGGATTGGCCCCACGTACTGTATTTCCAGCTCTGGATCACTCAGACACCGGGCCAGACTTGGGGACTTTCAAGACCTCAGGATTCACTGGCAATGCTCAAGCTGCCCTCGATGCAAAAACATCAAGGCGGTCCAGAGTGAGGAGGAGCTAAGGAAACATGGAGGAAGCGGTGTATTTCTTCTTGTTATACAGGGTTTCAAAACAAGCTCTCAGGCTGTGTTGTTGAGTAATGATATTCCGATTTGAAGGTCCCCAGAGACAGTCCATCACATCCCGCTGGGAGGCAATAGTTCACATTGTTAGTACGCAACCCTTCAAAGACTCAGCACAGTCCAATAGTAAATCTTAATGGACTCATTCAGAATCATGTATTTGATAATTTTGATTATATAAATTCATTTTGAGTTATGGACTGCTCTAATAAGCACTTAAAGCTTTTCCGTGAATAGAGCGGATGTTTATCGAGGAAGTGAAATGTAATACCATCTCCGGCGGCGATTTCCTGCCTCACCTACCCAAATCTTAAGATATTCCACTACAGAAGGAACAATGCAAAAAGGGTTCTGGTGCTTATGGACTATCATCATAGTCTAGAGGTCCGTCTGGTCGGCATGCGCTAGGGGTGCCCAGCGTCGATTTAATTTAATAGACTTTGGGTACCCTTAGGTTCCTTGGCCTCGACCCCACTATCATCCGAAGTAAGCCTGTATGCTGCAAGCCCCCCTTGATGCAGATTCGTACCCTGCCTGTTCCAGGCCTAGATTCGGCTTAGATCGTAGAGATCGCGGCCGACGGCTCGCAATAAGTGACTTTCCCTACTAGTATGACTTCTTCGTCCCAGTATCAGGACCTATTGTTTTGACAACACGACCTTGCAAAATACTTCACTTCTCTATCCCCAAATTGGTGAGCTTCTGGCAAAGAAGCATTGCAATTATGTGGCAGTCGTATTTGAAAATATCACGCCTTACTCTTGTTTTCATTCTCCTCACCACCTCACTCGCATGTCCTGATCCTTGGGAGGCTCTAAGACTTCCCGATGGGAAGATTATAGGAGGAGCTTCCAAACCATTGACCTTACGCAATGAATCAAGTCACGACAAAAGATGGATGCAGATGGTTCCCGGAAGATTTGGGTACGGAGATCTTTGGCCAGGAGGCACAATAATTTATTGCATGGGTGCTTCAATCACTGGAGCTGCAGACCGTACCGACATGCGTCTGAGCCTTCAGGCCGCGTGGAAACTCTGGGTTGATGCAGGAATTGACCCAAATGTCCAGGATTTCAGAGAAGGGACGGTTGGGGACTGCTCCTCCCCAGGAAATGGGGCTCTCACTGTTGAAATTTCTTCTGATGGCACAATGCACTCAAACTATGGAAGATACTCGGACGGTTCAGTAATGGTGTTGATTCCTAGAAACGACGTAGGTATGGGGGATAAAATCGCAAATTATGCACATGAAATAGGGCAGTAAGTTTGATTACGCCCTCGCACTTGATAGTTCTAATAACTGTTGTAGTGCTTTCGGACTCCTCCACGAGCATCAGCGTCCCGATGTATGGACAGCAGAGTATGGCGGAACAGCCGTGACGCCAAGCTTTTTCTTCAATTGCCAAAATCTTAAAGATTTTGCTGCTTTGGAAGCAACTAGGGGAGCAAAATCCGCGGGCGAAGCGTGTCAATCATACAGCAAGGCCATTGAGTTTGAGTTTTCCGCCTCTCATTTTCTACCGGAACCGAGGGATGAAAGCGGTGTGGCTGGTGGACCTCTGGACTTGAAATCAATCATGATATACCCGTCCAGAGCTGGTGGAATCAATCCTGGGACCACCCCTGCAACAGGCAGACTCGTCTACACTTTGTGGGACGGCACCGAGATTCTACCAAGATTTGTCCCCAGCCAATTCGACGTAAAGAACATGAAGTCACTCTATCCAGCAACTGCACCACAGACAACTCCCTGTTTTGCCTTCCAAGCTTGCAGTCCCTTTCAACACATGTTTAATCAGGTGGTGGGCTGCCGCAGGTAAGCAATGAAAGGATTTGTTCATTTAGGGAACTAATCTGGACATTGTTGGATTATTAAGGGGTCGGAAGAATGATATGTCTGTCTAATCATGCTGTATCTAGCTAAATTGGAAGAATCAAAAGGAAATGTTCGTGATCAAAGTGACAGATCTGGAGTGTTACGAAGGCGGGCGGCATTAAAAATCGTCCATCCGCTAAAAAGCGAGGAACACCAAAATCGCTACCTTTGGAAAATCACACCAAATCTCAATGCAGCCCCTAAAACTCTTTAAAATAGCTTTGTGAGGTAGAAAAGAAGCATATCTAACTTTTGAGAAATTTTCTCAATAATTAAATATAATACGGAATTACGACAATTTTTATATTGTGAGAGTCAACGTTATGCCCGCCCTCGCTTAGCAAATTGGACGATTTTTAATGCCGCCCGCCTTCGTAGACAGAATTTCTGGTGAATCCCATATCAAGGCTTGTTATACAACCTATTGTGGCTTCTACGAGCTTTGTTGGATAAACTCAAGCAGGGTTAGAGGTTCTCATATACAATTTGAAGAGGTGAAAGTCAAGACCTTGGTATTCCCATTGTTTGAGGGGTGAAGATTTTTAGCAATGCAATTCTACTCTGTACGAAGATTGCGGCATAAAGTGACGCGATTACAGGGCATTTGTACCGCAAGTCGACTTTCAGGCCACTTTCTACCACACTCACCCACTAAAGCCCCCTATATCTCCAGGCTACTCTCCTGTAAGCACGCTGTAAATTATAAACAAGGGGTACCACATCTTTAGAAGGCATATCCCCTGTACTTACAGGGGCAAAGTCGCTAAAAGGTCCTATAATAGCTCTCTCACAGCGTCCGAGCGCTACGGTTGCTCCGCTAGCAGCACCATAACCCTTGAAGATCTTCCACTACCTTGTAAATGTCTTACAGCCCTTGTTTTAAGGGTTCAGGCCTAGAGTTACAAGGCTTATAGCGGGCGCAGTACCTTAAGCCACACCCTGGAGCCCGCTGAGACCCCTACGCGAGCGTAAATGCCCTGTAATCCCGTCACTTTATGCCGCCGCAATCTTCGTATTTCCCCTCTCAACAAGACTGGTCGGCATTTGGCCCCACTCTCTTTCCCTTTCCTTGTTATTCTCTCCAACGCTAGGCCTTCTAATAGTGCCTGAATTGTTTGGATCACTAAATAGCCCGCTCCTAATTTTATTTCTCTGGCCAAGTTCGGCCGCTGCTACTTTGCAAAAAGCAGCGGGCTTACTTCAAATCTCCGGGGTTCCTTTAACTAATCGCAATACTGCGGTTAAGGAAGGCTCGACCCGCTCGAGGTTCTTACGGGAGATTGTCTTACGGCTAGTTTTAGGATGGTAGGTCAACGGCAGTCAAGTAATAATGCACCAAGCCAACACCCGAGATTAGCATTGTCAACTTGTAAATTATTAGGAACGTCAGCAATGTTGTACGGATATTGCGGCATAAAGTCGTGCGCCTTCAGTATATGTGCCCTGTAGCTATAGCGCTTAGATACTGGAACTTGGAGGTTTTATAGGGCACTTTAGCGACCAAGTCCCTGTAAACTTACTTACAGGAGCATACTCTAGAAATATATTTTAATCTCTTAAACGCCTTACAGGGCTTGAGTCTATATTTACAGGGACTTCTAGCGTCTGCCTCCACTATAATCTGAGCCTGTAGTGGACAAATAGTATATCTCGGCCAGGCATGCCCCGAAGTCGCATGACTTTATACCGCGATATCAGTACCCTGGCGAGTTCCACCAGCGGCCGCCGTAACATTACAATTACCAACTTACCCTTAACACAACATTAGTTCCAAATCCGCTACTCGCTAATATAAGTAATTGACTAATTACGCCTCTTGTTTGCTAATAAAAAACTTATTTTAAAATAATATATTACTTGCGAAAAAGCAGACTAGAATAAAGGTTCATTAAATCAAAAGTATTAATATTTAAAATCAAGTAAATAAATATCTTAAAAATATTTCTTTTAAATTTTCTTTTTAAATAAATTAGCAAGTTTATATAATTCTATAATTTTATATCTAATATCTTTTAAGATTAAATATAAAGTTATTATAAAAAGATCTTATTAATATAATATATTAAACTATATTAAATACGTTTTATTATTACGAATTTTTAAATACATTCTTTTAAAAGTTTACTTTTTTCTTAAATTTTAAATTATTTTTAACTTTAGATTTGTAAACAGAATTTCGCTTAAGTAGTTAATTGTTCAATCGGCAATAACTACTAGTTATTTTGGAGTATAATAGGCAATCCCTCGTAAATTTATTAACGTATTGAGTAGAGCGCACCCTTCTTCCTATTCATTATCAATGTCAGCATACTGCCGTCATCACGGAGTGGCAAACTCTTCCCGACTTTGAACTAAAGCAGAAGAGCTAAGGGACATTTGGGGAGTCTTCCCCTTCACGGAGATGCCGTGGAGAGGGAAAACAACTGGTGAACTAGCAGAAGTATTGTTAAGCGCAAAATGTGAGCAGGGTATGACCCAAAGCTGACGCCTACCCTACTTTCTCCTCTCAGTTAGTGCCTTTAACGGTCAGACGACATACGAGGAACAAATTGAGCCCTCTCTGGCTTTATTCTCGGAAATAAGATGGGTCTGGAAGTCAAACAAAACAAGATTTGAAGTTCCGAGGTCTTCGGGGACGATTACTCGGAAGCTATTTTTTTCTTCGAACCCACGAAGCTTCAAACCTTCATCAACGATGGCCTCATTGCACTCAATATTCTTGCTTATTGCATTATGTGTATTTCTTGCCTGGGCGAGCTTTCATGATATCTACCCTCGCGGGGGGGTCAATCGAAGAGTCACAACTTTGACATCACCCAATGAACCTCAACAAACTGGCACAATATCCACATGCAGGTAAATCCTAACTCTTCATTCTCAGTAGCTGACTTATGAAAGGCAACAAATGGTACGATGTAGTGTCGGGAGATACCTGTGCAAAGGTTGAAGCTGCGTTTGGCATAACCAATGCGCAGTTTCTAGCTTGGAATCCTGCTGTGAGCTCAGATTGTGTTACCAATTTCTGGGTCGGTGATTCATATTGTGTTGGGATTTCCTCGAGCACAGCCAGGACCAGCAGTACTACGGCAAAACCCAGCACTTCTACCACAAAGTCCGGTGCTTCAACGGTCGAAACTGCTCCAAGCAAGCCGACATTAAGCGGAATACCTTGCAACTGCAATCTTTACTACGATGTAGTATCTGGTGACTCATGTTTTGTAATCGAAGGAAAGTATGGGATCACACCGGCGGAGTTTTTAACATGGAATCCTTCCGTGAGCGATGACTGCACTATCGGCTTCGATGCTGGCTTTTCGTACTGTGTGGGAGTGAGTACCGCCAAATGTTCAAGTACAGCTGCAACAGCTTCCTCAACAGCTGTTGGGACGTACTCAATTATAGGGAGTGAGTTGTCAGCCAGCTTGGCACCCATTCCTACAGCAACTGGTTGGCCTCCAACACCAACACAACCTGGCATTGTTTCTCCATGTACGTGCCCCATACATCACACATTACTCGGTTTGACTCTCTGCCTAGGTTTGAGATATTATCAAGCAAAAGCTGGCCAAAATTGTACTGGTATCGTCAACCTTTACTCCCATCTCATCACGATGGATGATTTGTAAGTTCCAAATTCCAGCCTCTATTGAGTCTTTTAATTAATCCTACAGCCTCACCTGGAATCCTGCCGTGAGATCCGACTGCAGTGGGCTATATGTAAATTATTTTTACTGCGTGGATGTTCCATTGGATCAGTCAATTCTCCCCAACGCTACTTCGCAAATTCTCCCAGCCTGGACCCACATTGCCCCTCAACCATTGAATTCGACATTTCTGCCTGAACCAACAGCAGTTGGCGCTCCTTTTGATTGCCAATCATGGTACCTTGCAGAACAGGTGTGTGGTCCAAAGAATTCATAATTTGTATATGCTAATAACCCGGAAGGGTGATACATGTGATAGCATCACGTCTATGCTAGGATATTTGGGTGCTTCTGAGTTTCAAAATTGGAATTCTGGTGTAGACTGTAGGGATATTACAGTTGGAGATTACTACTGCGTGGCCAATTACGGATCCGCTCTTCCACTCCCCTCCACCGTTTCCATACTGCCCTCTCCTGTACAATCGGGAATTACTCCGAGTTGTAAGGCATGGTATCTAGCAACGTCTGGCGATACTTGCAGTTTGATACCACAATATTTTGGCACTTTTTCTGAAAGTGATTTCATATCTTGGAATCCTGCTGTTGGTGGGACAACTTGTGGTGGTTTGGTGGTCGGAGATTACTACTGTGTGGCAGGTTCGTAGAATTGTGAGAATTTTACACAAGTGGTGTTCTGAGCTGACCTTGGAAAATAGTTCCGGGGACCCCAACTTCGGCTACAACAATAAAAACACAATCACCTCTTCCAACAAATGGCGTAGGGCCCCAGCCTGAACAGCCGGGAATCACAAGCACTTGTTCCACCTTTTGGTTAGTTTCAACGTAAGGCTCTCGAACTTCTTTTCGAAGACCACTACTCAATCGAACCAGGACAGATAACTGTACCACAATCGCCATCGCTAATGGAGTCTCCGAGGCCGAACTTGAAGCTTGGAACCCTGCTTTAGGGGACGGTTGTGTTGGTCTGCTACCAAACTACTACATCTGTGTAGATGCAACATCAAATGGCACTGGCACTGGTTCGAAACCAACCATAACCACTTCCGGTCCTTTGTCGACCACACCGACGACCTCCTCCAAGACATCCTCGGCAGTATCTGTCTCAGTTGCAACCCCAACTCCTACTCAGGTACGCTCTTCTATTTGATTTTTTCATTGCTGCAATATTTTACTTGAACTAACACCGCCAATTAGCCTGGAATGAGTGCGGGTTGTGAGCGTTTCTACTTGGTAAAATCTGGAAATGACTGTTTTGATATTGCACTTGATGCTGGTATCAGTCTCACCACCTTTTACTCTTATAATCCGGGCGTCGGGTCCTCGTGTGGCACTCTGCAGGCTGGGTATTATGTGTGTATTGGGATTTCGGGGCCTCCTGTTACCATCACTTCTGGCACGCCATATGGACCGACACCTTCTCCTATACGTAAGTTGAATCGTTACATTATCCCGTCTACTTTTTGCCTACTCCTTCTCTTTCCAGCTTTATTCTTGAGACTAAGCTCCCATTATTTGCCAGAAACGGGTATGGTATCCTCCTGTGTCCGCTTCTACTACGTCGAAAGCGGTAACAACTGCCTAGAAATCGCACTTGACGCGGGTATTAGTCTCACGAATTTTTATTCTTATAATCCTGCAGTTGGAAGCGGATGTGGAGGTCTTCAAGCTGGAGTATTCGTTTGCATTGCAACAAGTGGACCATGGACGACGATAACTAGTGGGCCACCTGTCAGTGCAACTGGTGTGAGTTGAGGAGCGGCGGATTGCGATAGAGGCAGGAGTAAAAAGATACGAACGAGTTTCGGAACAGCCAGTCTCATATCGGAATGTTAATGGGACCATTTTCAATTTCTGTTTTTGAACCCGAGCAGCTATTGCTTTCGCCTAAACTTAGCTTTAATAAATTTATTATTTTATTAAGTCTTTTATTATAAAAGTTAATTTCTTTATTAAAAAACGAAGTTTTCAAATTAGAAACATTTAATAAAGTATTTCTTTACAGAATTCTCATATTTTAATTCTTATAATTAAACTTAGCTTTTTTATATTTAATATTTAAAATAAAATAATATATTTATTATATTAAAGAATATAAACTTAATTATTATTATAAATATAGTATTTAGGGCTTAAAAAGTAAAATAATTCAAAGCTAAAAAAGAGAAATCCGGAATATAAGAAACTATAAGGAAATATATATGTTTTATAAGAGATTTAGCTTATAAGAGACTTCGCTTTTTAAATATCTTTAATATATTTCAAATATATTTCTTTAATAAAATAGCTATATTATATATATAATTATATAATTAAAAGTAATAAAATATAAATAATAATATATAAGTAATAATATAACGGACCAAAACCCGATTTATATATTTGGCTAGAAGTCTTTTATTATAAATATAGTATTTAGGGTTAAGAAATAAAATAAAGTTTTTTGTAAAAATAATTCAAAGCTAAAAAGAAGAAAACTAGAATATAAAAAGCTATAAAAAAGTGTATATATTTTATAATATACTAGTTTTAAAAGAGCTTAGCCTTTCAAATATCTCTAGTATATTTCAAGTTTATTTTTTTTAATAAAATAGCTGTATTATATATATCTAAAAGATATTTAGATATCTGGATATTTAATAAAATTATAAGGCAAAGACAAATATAAATAATACTTTATATAATGCTCCAGGCTATACTCTAGAGTCTTATTCATTAGAGAAAGCCCTCTAGAAATACGCGATTTACTTCGCTCCAAAAAAAAAATTTGCCTTAAGTAATAGAAATAAGACTTAGAACTCCCAGAATTAGTCCCCTGGCTAGTTGTATTTTACAGTATCTGTTCCCCACCGCTGGTCATGTCCACTAGCAATGACGGCGCCGCTGTTCCCGCGGCTGCAATCCCTATTGTAAGCTCACGCCTCTTTCTTCGTTTGTAATATCCTCGAATTGACACGGCGTTGTAGGATCAGTTCCAAGCTGAGGATGACGGCGATTCATCATATGGCGACGAAAGGTGGACAACTCATGTCTTCTTATATTTACGATGCCTGATCTGACGCAGCGTCAGTGGCTCAACCGCCTCGGTATCAGAGAGCATCCGACAGTATCGAGAAGTGCATGGGAGGACGTTTCAGAATTTCAAGACGCCCGAATACTGGTATGCGGATGCAATATTTATGCAGTTCGAAGCTCACAGAAACGTGAAGGGCGCCTAATGATGAGCAACAAAATGAACAGCTTGGTAAGATTCCAAGGGACTTTAGTTTCGGTCTCGAGGGCTGACACTGAAGAGATATTGGGTCAGGGATAAATCAACTGTATAGATGAAGTTTATCTGATTACTTCGCAGGCACTAAATGATGACTGTACTGCTTGATGGAAAGCTCTTCTTGGCACACATTGGCTCAAATCCTCAGGCAGGTCACCCTGTGACTACAGTATACGATATACTAATGATTTTATAGTCGGTTATAGACATTAGTACAGGTACTGGAATTTGGGCAATGCAAGTATTCGAGTCACCTTTTTCCAACCACTACTAACTTCCTCTTAGAGACTTTGCAGATCAATTCCCCTCAGCCCAAGTTATAGGCACAGATTTGTCTGCCATCCAGCCATCCTGGGTTCCACCAAACCTCAAGTTTGAGCTTGATGACGCGCAACTTGAATGGACGTACCAGCCAAACTCGTTCGATTTTGTTCACATGCGGACGCTTCAAGGCAGCATTGGTGACTGGCCAGCAGTATATTCACAGGCCTTAAAGTAAGTTGAAATTGGCGAAGTGGCCGTGCCTGGCAACTGACTTAATTAGGTGTATCAAACCAGGCGGCTGGATCCAGGATATGGAAATGTCTATAATGTGGAAGTCTGAGGACGGCACCATCACCGATGACCACTTACTTAATGAATGGTCGCGGATTTCTATCGAGGCTGCAAAGAAAATTGGTAAGACCTTTGTGAATGCGCAGGTTACCAAGGAGAACATGATAAAGGCGGGATTCGTGGATCTGGTTGAGAAGAAGTACAAGATGCCAGTAAGAGGCCGGAGCAGCGATCCAAAGACGAAGGAACTTGGACGATGGAACGCGTTATATTTCCAGCAGGGCATCGAGGGAATATGCTTATATCTATTAAACAGAGTGATGGGTGTGAGTATTTCCCTGGTTTTTGGACGCGTGCCACGCTCATGATACGCAGTGGGTGTATAAGGAGGTGCAGATGTACATTGCGAAACTGCGATCAGCGCTCTTTGATCGCAAATCACATCCTTGTTATGAGATGTAAGCAATAATTCATTCCAGCTTCCCGTATCGTGGTAAGGTTGTATACGCAGACCAGCCAATCTTAGATACGTCGTATACGGCCGCAAACCAGAAGCATGAGTGTATAAAAATTACAAGTTTATTTGTGATCGTTCTCACTGTCAAGTAAACTTCACCTGAGCACTACATAGGGCTGCTAGCGCTAAACGCCATAGGATCCTATATATATACCCCAGAGTTTAGCTCTCTCGCTCTCTCTTTTCCTCTCCTCAGCTATAGATCCTCGAATGAAGGCATTCTCCTACGATATCCCGTGCGTCTCACCTGACGTATCCGTGTCTATACTCGTACGTGCTGCCACACTATCAAAGCGTTAGATGATCTCCTTTTTCTAATTAGGGTTAATCATACATGATATACTCAATATAAAGCCTGCACTGCCAGTGTCTCCTGCTACTGCGAGACCCTATACTCACAGAGAGAGCCATTATCGACGTAGGCGCGTCGCTTGTTACCCCGCACCTCTAACGCCTCGTGCACTTTTTCCGATGCTGAGTCAGCGCGTTGCAGAGCTGTGTCCCTCTCGCACAGATGGTTCTCACTCTCTACCCCTAAAACAGGACGAACAACCAGAATGTCGACCTTCATCGCTGGCAAAGAAGTTGGACCAATCGGTTTCGGCCTAGCAAGTATAGCTCAAAACAATGCACTCCCCCCTAGGTCAAGACTAGAAACTGATATCGTCGACAAAGGTCTCACAGCCAAATCACCTCCGACCCCTTACGATGAAGCCTGCAAAGTCCTGAAAATAGCTCTAGAGAAAGGTGCTAACCTCCGGAACGGCGGCCAATTCTACGGCCCCCAAAACGCCAGCTCCCTCCAGCTCCTCAACCACTACTTCACGCTCCATCCATCCGACGCCAAAAGGGTAGTCCTCAGCATGAAGGGGTGTTTCAACCACCCAACCTACATCTCAGAGGGACCACCCGGACCAGACTGCTCTCCGAAAGGAATCAAAACCAGCATCGAAAAATGTCTCGAGGTTCTCGGCGGCAAGGTTTGTATCGATATTTTCGAGCCTGCGAGACTTGACCCAAATGTCCCTGTCGAGGATACGATGGAGACACTCTCCGAGTACGTGAAAGCAGGAAAGATAGGCGGAATCGGTCTCAGTGAAGTAAACACCACAACGATTCGTCGCGCACATGCCGTTCATCCACTCTCAGCTGTCGAAATCGAGTTATCACTCTTCACAATCGAGCCACTTACAAACGGCATCCTGGATACCTGCGCAGAATTGAACATTCCTGTTGTCGCATACTCTCCTTTCAGTAGAGGTTGGTTGACTGGACAAATTAATCATCTTGATGATATCCCGCAGAATTTCGGCAGACTCTATCCGAGATTCCATCCGGATGCTTTTGGAGGGAATCTTAAGCTGGTACAAGCGATTGAGAACGTGGCGAGGAGGAAGGGATGTAGCCTTCCACAGGTGGCACTTGCATGGGTTATTGCTATTGGGAAGGGGAAAATCCGGGGGGGACCAATCGTGGTTCCCATACCCGGATGCAAGAGTGTGGATAGGGTTAAGGAGAATCTGACAAGCGTTGAACTGGATGAGACCGATTTGAACGCGTTAGAGAAGATCCTGGGGGAGATTAATGTTTGTGGCGACAGGTATGGGGAGTCACTCAAGAAATACATGAACATGTAACTTCTTGAGAGGCTGAATAGAGCGACGAAGCATCTATAATAGTTGCGTGTAATGCCTCTGGAGGCTACAGAAACAAGAGGCGCGATGTTGGAACGCTAGGCTGTGAACAAGATGCGCGGATACTTTTATTTAGTATTAACAAACTCAAAATACGATATAAGAGTATATTAATACTAATAAGAACTATAACGGCGGAATTAATGCAATAGTTAAAGGCTTAAAGTTCAAAGAATCTCATATATTAGAAAATACTAAGCTCTAGAACAAAGTAGAGAGGATGCCTTAACCTTTAGTATTATTCCGTCCAAATAATTCCGGCTTAGCTTCGTTTTATACCTGTTTCTAATATCCTGTCCTTAGCAGATTATACCCTTATACCAGCCGTTATATTAAAGAGAAGTCTAAATGCCCTCATTTAGGGAATTATTTAGCTATAATATAAAAAAGAAAAAAGAGGAAATAATAGTTATTTATTTCATTCTATCTAATCTCTATAACTTACTTATAATCGAAATATAGTTTTAACTTTACTAGAATAATCCAGTTTCTAGTATATTTCGGCTAGCTCTTAATATTTATTACTTATATTATATTTATACCTATATTAATAATATAGTCTAAAAATACTATATAAGCTATAGCTAATATTAGAATAGTTATTATCGGGCAGTCTTTAAATAGAAGTAGTAGATTAAATTCATTCGTTAATATAGGCTTTAATATAATAGCTTATTTGCTTTTTTTCTTAATTAAAATAGTAATATTTAGTTTAATTATATTATTTCTAAGCTATTTAATTAACTTCTAAGCCTTTTTAAGCTTAATATATATTCTCAAGTTACTTTTCTATAGTAAAGACTTATATATTAAAGGCAATTATTTAAGTTATTTTATTATTAAATTCTCAGGCCTTAAGCTATATAATTTTAGTTTTATAAGAGCTTCTAAAGGGTTTTCTGATTTCCTAAATAGTATTATATACTAATTTATTAATATCTATAAAGTATTACTTCTTTAATTCAGTTTTTAGAATTATTTACTAGCTTTTAGTTTCAGACTAATACTTTATATAATAACTACTATTTAGTATTATATATTTTCTAGTTATAATAAATATCTTAATACTAGTTTAGTTATCTTTATTATAATTAAAGTCTTTTTTATTACTAGAAGTTTTTCTATTCTAGTTTTTTTATTATTAGAATTCTTACTATTATCTAATATCTTATATTTTTTTTTAAATAAGTTAGCTTTACTTTTTTTAACTTTTTTAATATTTAGCTTTATAAAGTTAATAAGATAGCCTTTATTAGTATTATTTATTTTACTTATTAGACTATTAGACTTATTATTACTAATAGCTAAAACTTTTATTTTATTATTTTTAAAATATTTTACTAAAATATTCTTTATAGTAATTTCAGATATATTTTTAAAAATAATATAAGCTATATTTTATATATTAATCTATTTTTAAATAAGGAAATTATTGTTTTTATCTATAAAAATAATTTAACTAATAGTTATATTAATAATAGTAATAGCTATTAAATTTAAGATATTATTACTATTATTTAAGTTATTTAGGATCTAATAAATAGCTTTATTTAGTCTAGCTATAAATAATATATTACCGGAATTTCTTATTTGTTTTATCTTTATTAATAGTTCTATTAAAATAATAATAGTAATATAAATAATTAAGATTATAAAGGTTAAAGTAATTAGGAAAATTTCCTTTAATTTTTAATAATATTTTAAATTAATATAAGCAAGTATTTATTTTTAATTTAGCTTTAAAAATTTACTTTTTTCTATAATTTATTTAGATAGTAAAAAATGATTTAGTATAATAAAAAAAGATATTTTATTTAGATTTCAAAAAAAAAGTAAGTATTAATATAGTAAAATAAAGGAAATATATTAGAATTTAGATAAAACTCGGAAAATATCTAGATTTTTCTTTTTCTTTTTTAGTTATAAAGACTTTATTATTATTTAAATTATTTTTATTAAACTTATTTTTTTTAGTATATTAAATTCATTTATTTAACTAGATAAAAGGTCTTATTTTACTAAAGTTCTACTTATAGAATTTATATAGTTTAAATACTAAATTTTTAAAATTTAATATAAAGTATTATTTATTATTTATATTCTATTTCTTTTATTTAATTTTATAATAAAGCTTATTATAAAGTATTTTAAAAAAAAGAATCTTTTTAACTTTCTATTTAAGTTTACTATTAATTTTAATAGAACTAGACTCTTTATTAGTTTAGTTAAATAATAGATTAATAGAATTCTTATAAAGTCTATTTATATAAAAAATTAGCTAAATTCAATATAATAGAAAAAGATCTAATTAATATAAATAACCGACTATTTTATTAATTTTAAATAATTTAATAAAAAAATAATTTAATTTATTAGATAAATAATTCGTTTTCTATATTTTTTTAATTATATAAATTATATTTTCTAAACTAAAGTCTAGTTTTTACTATTTCTTATTAGTTTATTTAATTTAATACTTTTAAACTACTATTATATATCTTCGGATATAATTAATAATAGTATTAATTCTTTTAGCTTACTATTATATTTCTTTCTAATTAAGTCTCTCTTTTAATATTTTAAATACTATTATTAATAATATCTAGTTAAAGTTTAGTCTAAGTTTATATTTATAATTAATTATTAAGAGAGATAAGTTAGTTAATTTATATAAATAGATAATACTTATAATATTAAATACTAAAACTAAATTTATTTAATTATTTTAAAAGTAATTAATAAAGAAATAAAGTTAGATATTAATAATCTAATTAATAATTTCTGTTTATTTATTAGTTTAAATATATTTTATAATTAAAAGCTTTAGTTTAGTTTTAGTTAATCTTAATAGTTTATTTATAAAGTCTGAAATAAATTAGAGTTTTTAATTATTTATAATAATAAAAGAAAATTCTCGGAATTACTAAATATAGTAATAGAATAGATTAGTAATAGTTCTAGCTATAGTATTTTTAGTTATTAATAAGCTTATATATTATTTAGATAATTAATTAATTATAATAAATATATTATTATATCTTTTATTTATAAAGCTAAAAATATAGAAATTTATAAATAAATTATTTTATATATTTAAAGAAACTAGTAATAAATATAATAGGCCTAGTATTTTATTTCTTAGCTTATAAGACCTTTAATATTTATAATAGTTTATTATAAAGTAATTAATATTTATAGAAAAAGTAAACTACTAGTAAAGTTTCTAAACTAGAATATATAATAATTATTATATTATAAATTTATTATAGAAATTTAACTTATAAATTATTATATTTATCTAATATAATAAGTCTTTTATTATATAATATATAGCTATTTAATATTTTCTATAGATCTATATTTTTCGAAACTTTTTAATATTTGTTTTTTAAAGCTAAGTTTATTTAATTAGTTTATAGAACTTTAATTATAATAAATAGTTTATTTATTTCTCTTATTTTAATAGAAATATTACTTATAAGTATTTCTATATTTAGTTCAGGCTAGCTTATTAAGCTTACTAGTTATAGTAAGTCTAATATTATAATAATTCTAATATTAATTTTTAGTTATTTTTATTATATTATAAAATAACTATATATCTAATTAAAATAATTTTTTTATATAATTATAACCTTTATTTAGACTAGTAATTACCTAATAAAGTATTTTTTAATTAAAGTATATTCGGTTATAATAATAATTAATTAAATAAATTATTAAAGCTTATTAAATAGCTTTAATATAACTTTATATATAAAAATTATATATAATTTACTTCTTAATACTATTATATCTAAAGCTATATATTATATAATAAAAGAGAAAAATAAAGAAATAATTTAAAAGCTTAAAAAACTCTTATAATATAAGATAGTTTAGTATATAATATAGGAGAAATAAATAAAGAAAGCTATATATATTTAAAAGAACTTTATAGAAACTGAAATTACAAATCTATAAACCTTTATCTTTATATTTAATATACTTTATTTAATATATTTTAATTAATATAAGGAGTTTAAGCCTCTTTTAGAAAATAGAAAATATAATATATAATTAAATAAAGTCTAAAAAATAAGCTTAATATAATATATAGATATATATATTAAAAGAAATTATTCTTTATAATATAATATAATTATTATAATAGTTATATTAATTTTAAAAACTATAGATTAAATATTTTCTTTTATAGACTAAATTAGAAATATATAGGCCTTTTATTAAATAGAAAAATAAAAGAAATTAAGCCAGTATTATATAGTTTATATTAAGTCTATAGATTATAAAAGAAAGAATATTTTTATTCTCGAAATTATTATAAAGTACTTTAATAATCTAAAAGCTATAAAAGAAAAGTATAATATTTATAAAAGTAATTAATATAATATAAATAAAATTGAATTTCGAATAGAATATATATAAAGTACTATTATAATTATTTATAAAAATATAAAATATATAAATAAAAAACTATTTTATTAAAAATATCTTTAAAAATATAATTATATTAATTAAATTCAGGTATTTATAAAGAATTTTATATAAAAAGAACTAATTATAACTATAGAATATATATCTATTAGTTTTTAAAAGCTTAATCTATTTATTATTATATTAGATAATATATTTATATAGAAGTATTTTAATAATAATCTAGTTTTAAATATTAAAATTATAATCTTTAAAAATAAATATATAAATAATAAACTAGTTTATAAATAGCTATAGTATTTCTATTACTAAACTAAATTATAAGTTAAAAACAGATATTATTTTCTAATATATAATAGATATAAAAGCTATATAATATATAAATTTATTTAAGTTATAAAGTCTTTAGATATTATCTATTTCTATCTAATTATATACTTTATATATCTATATTAACTATTAAATATTATATATTTCTAATAATAAAAATACTAATATTTTAAAGTAATTAAAAATAAAGTTTATAAAAATAAAAATAACTTTATAAAAATAACTTTCTTATAATATTATAAGTAGATTAGAGCTCTAGCTTTTATTAAAAAGAATATATATTCGGCTTCTATATAAACTAGTATTTATTTATTTAATTCTAATATAGTTTTAAAAGCTTTTAAGAAATAAATAGCTAAGAAATTAGATAATAAAAGTACTAGAAAA